TCCATGATTGTATGTTGAGGCTACACAGATACTTACGTGGAACGCAGCCATAGATTTAAAAGTAGCTGCATTGGTCACTTAAGGGACTTAGGATTTGGTTATGTGCCCGACCAATGCCAACATTGTGACATGCAAGTAGGTGTTTACCATCAAGTATCACCCAAATGGCTCCATCATTTGTCACAAAGCTCATCTGATTGTTCAGGGCTTCATGCAAGCATATGGGATTGACTACACTAAGATGTTCTCTCTTGTCGTCCACTTCAACTCCGTCTGTGTGCTCCTCTCTCTTGTCGTGAATCAAGCATGGTCTCTCCACCAATTAGATGTTTCTAATACCTTTCTCTATAGTGATCTCACAGAGCAAGTTTTTATGGAGCAACCTCTTGGGTATGTTACTCAAAAAGGGTCATCGAAAGTATATCTCTTGCGGCATGTCATTTATGGGCTCAAGCAAAGTTCACATGCTTGGTTCATCAAATTTAGTAGCTTTCTCACCAACTTTGGTTTCACCTCCTACACTACGGACCCCATCATGCTCACGAAGAAGATAGAAGGCAGCCTTATCATCTGTTACTAATGATATTCTTGTGACTAGAAGTGATGAGGCCGACATTTCTATTACCAATGCTTATTTGTAGCAGTATCTCAACATTTGTGACTTAGAGATTCTGCGGTATTTTCTTGGGATTGAGTTTGCGTATTAGGACGGGAAGCTCGCCCTCACTCATTGGAAGTATGCCCTCGACATGTTTTAAGAGATAGGCCTCCTTGGGTGCAAGTCAAAGATTTTGCCCATAGAAGCTTGCTTGCAGTTCTAGGACACTTTATCTTCGTTACTCGAGGATGCTAACTAGTATTAGTGATTATCAAATAAGTTGATATATCTCACCATCACTCACCTTGACATCCTATCCATGTTTAATGTCTTAAGTCAGTTCATATAGAAGCCTAAATGAATTCATTGGGAGGGAGCTCTATGAGTTGTTGCTTACATCAAGCGATCCTTAAGAAAAGGGCTCATCTCTATAGAATATGCCTTTCTTCGAAAATTTTATCCCTTAGGAAAAACTCAAAATATGAGAAAACATATATGGAATTTTTCTTAAAGACCAAGAGAAACTTTGCATGAGACATGGGAAAAATTCAAAGATTTACTTAGAATGTGTCCTCATCATGCTATACCTAAGTGGCAGCTCAATATAATTTTTTATGATGGATTATTAGAACAACATAGAAATATGGTTGATTCTATATGTGGAGGAGCTTTTATGGAGAAAACCCCTGATGAGATTTACAATCTTTATGAGAATTTAAGTGAAAATTCTAGAGATCAAGCCTCTTTTGAATTATATGACAGGGATAAGAAGAGAGGAATTCATGAATTGCATCATGATGATGATTCTAAATTTAGAAATGAGATTAATCAGATTAATCAAAGATTAGAAAAACTTGATTTACTTAATGATAATATTAGAAAGCCTCTTAACCCTCAATTTAATTCAAATAGTACACGTCCTATGTATGGTGAAAATGATCATTTCGAATTTCAATATCATCCTAGGCAAGAACAAGTGCAAGTACCCCACGATTTTAGTAAAAATAGGAAATATTTTTCTAATTCTTATAATCCTAATTGGGGGAATAATTTTTCGTAGAGAAACTCAAATAATATTCAAAATCCAAAAGCACTTAGATCTAATTCAAACTCTAAATTTCGTCCAAAACAAGAAAATAGATTTTAGAAAAATCAGCCCTCTCAAACCCAACCTGATACTATAGAAATGATGCAGCAAATGAGCCAAATGATGCAACAAACTATGAATCAAATGATGTTGCACCAAAAACAAATTATAGAGGCTTTTGAGAATAGGAGAGAAGATGGACAGCTGCCTAGTGAGCCCAAAGAAAATCCAGGGAACCGCCCAACAATAGGATTTCAGCAAGTGGAGTCTAGTAGCATGAATCTAGAAAAAACCCACAAAATGAAAATGTTAGGATAGTGAATACATTGAGTGGGAATATTTTACCTGATCCTTATTTCCAACTATTAGAAGAAATCGATGATCCATTAGAAGTAAATGAGAATATTAAGGGCAAAAAATATAGTAGCAGAAAATTTAAATAAAATTATTTATTTCTCACAATTGATGAATGAATATAGTGAGGATGATGAGGAGAAAGAGCCCTTAGGTGAAGAAATAGCAATTGATTATGGAAGAATCATCCAAATTTTAGTAGATGGGAGTAAGGATAGAAATGAAGAGAAACATATTTTAGGTGAGGAAAAATCAGTTGATTTGGGAGATGTAGGAGATAAAATTAATAAATCTAATCATAATTTTGCAGCGATGGATGTTGATAGTGAGGATGATGATGTATATCATATACCAAAATTAAAAGATAGCTCTTGGGAAGATGAAGAATTTGATGAGTTGAGAAATGAAAATCTAGAAAAAGAGTTGATTCAACTAATGGGGAGAAATGAAAATAATGAATATGAATATAGAGATGATTTTGGAGGAGAAAATTTGAATTTTACTGAATTCATTAGATCTGAGATCAAAGAAGACAATCCTTCCATCCTTCAAAACCCACAACCCATTATAATTATTTCTAAGTTTGAAATATTTCACTCCTCGCAAATTGAACAAATATGTATGGAAGATTAAATGGACCAGGGGAAGATTATGCAGATAAAAGAACACATTAAGAAATGGGTGAGTGGAAGAATTAGAGATATCAATTTAGATGAAAAAATTCTAGATTGGGCAAGAGCTAATTTGAAAATTATATGGCCTGATCACATTTTATGGTCTATTAATAGAAAGTATTTATTAATGAATGAGAGTCTTACAAAACAAGATAGAAATAAGGAAAGATTCTTTTCATAATGGAAATATAATTTTTGGAAAATTTTTATTAATTTCCATTTTGTTTTGGTTGAAAGTATGTCAAGGTATATATATGACGTATATGAATTTATGCTAAATCTGAAAAAGCATATCATGAAACTACCTTGGGATACAAATATATTTTGATGGCCATAGATCATCTTATATGATCTAAGAGCTGTTCAGCTGAAGACATTAAATTCAGCACTGGATAGGAGGCAACCCATGGTTTTTATTTCATTCTGTGTGATTTTTTTAAGCTCTGTTTTTCTTAGAATTTCGCAGTATTTGTTTCTATATTTGTTCTTTCGAAAAAATGCAAGAGGAGTAGTGTAAGATGAAGTGAAAATTAAAAACGAGCTTGAGGTGATGTCTTTTTGAGCTTTATCATTTATGAAAATATTTTTAATGCTTAACTTTGCACATATGCATGCTTCACTTGAAAATTATATTTTTTGCATATTCTGTTTCGATTTTTCTGTGTCATTGAGGACAATGTAATTTTTAAGTTGGGGGGTGAAGTATTTATTATTAATTTATGCTGTAGGATGATTAAGAACATGTGTTTGCATTTTATTCAACTTAGAACAGCAACTAAAAAAATAAAAATAAAATAAAAATCGAAAAAACTGCAACATCTATTTTCTGGTTTTCTGTCAAGAACAACAGACTGTCAAAAATAACAGACAAAAAAGCAGCCCGAAATTTGAAATTTTGGAGACCCTTTTCTCACATTTCAATCCCCAAGACATATATTACTGAAATTCGAAATTACAACTATAAAGAGGATAGTTTTGATTTATTTTTGACAAATTTATTGCTGCTAAAAATAGAACTGAAAACAAAAAACAGAACTGTCAGAACTATCTAATTTACAAATTTCTTACATCATATTGCATGCATAAAAAATTAAATCAATTAGATTGATTGATACCAAAAGATACTAGGAAGATTATTATTGAGTCAAAAGAATGATCTAGTAGCATGAAATGTTGGAATACTCCTTGGATATATGATAGATAACATGGATTTGATTTTACAGATTTTCACTTCATGATCTTGATGGATAATATTTACTTGATGTGAAAATTTGATTGATCATTTGAGTTTAATAAAGATTTTTGCACCCAGGTCTATAGGACTTGTGAAGAGAAATCACTTATTTCAAAAAAAAAAAGAGAGAGCAATGTGAAAAATCTAGAAACAAAGAGTACACATGGAGAATATGAGACATCATTCTCATTGTCGAAAATTGTGCATAGAAAAACACTTGCTGCAAAATAAGTGGATAAAGTGAAAGCCCTGAAAATGAAGAGTACACATGGAGGCTGTGAGACATCATTCCTATTGTCAAAATTTGTCTACAGGAAAAGCTACTTATCCACTATATATATCAAAAAAAAAAAAAGAAGAAAGAAATATAGTGCACACTTCAAAAATCAAGTCATAGAAAAAAGGAAATGTAGGATCAATATTATTCTTGGATGATTATTGATAATTGGAACATCTTGTAAATACATCTATGAGTGAAGAAGTGATAAAGATGTGAATAGAAGAAGTAAGTCTAGATTGTTATTCCAAGGAGTGTTTAAACATTTAAGTGCTTGACATCATTCTTAAATACTTGATATAAGAGTCCAAAGTGTCTAAAGGTGCATCATTTCTAATTGTATTTTTTTTTCAGTATTGAACTATGATGTTTGAGATTTGTAAATTTTTATTTTCGTAATTCCATTGCTAAGGGACTAGCAATGATTTAACCTAGGGGGTGTGATAAGTCTTCATTATCATGAGTTAATAATTAGTAAATAATATAGTTTTAGCCTTAACTTATGATAAATAGACTTATATTTGTGTTAAAGTGTGAAAAGTGGTTTTCAGTTGATTAACGTGAATTTTTGGGTAATTATGTGATTTTATACAAATTTATATGATTTTTATAGTCTTACTTTTAAGATAAATGAAGAAAAAGAAATTAAAATAAAAATAAGACAAAATGGGGGGGGACCCGCCAGCCAGCCGAGCCCACAAGTAGGTCGGAAGCGCAATCGAGAGTAGCTAGAAGTAGGGGCTCGAGTGACTTGGACTGATAGGGGCACGTGTACACTACTCCCCTTCCACGTCACTAGTGGCCACCCGACTGTGGGGCAAGGAGTGGTCGTACATGCACGAGAAAGGGACTTGATTAGAAATTTAATATTACTATATATTTGCCAGAAACTTCGGCGCACAAGCGATGTGGGACTAAACTCACGTCACACCTTCACCAGAAAAGGCGGGCAACCGGCGCGGGTTTGAATCCTTCCCGAGCCAAAACTCTTATTTTTTTATCTAATTATCATGACTTTCCTACAGATCGCCGATGAAGGATTAAGCAACAAGAATCGTTGGATCATCGGCAAAAATCTCGTCTCGCGATTCGCAGAGCATTGCTACTAAAATTGCTGAATGATTCGTGATAAAAGGATTGCGAATCCATCGAGTAAAGCATCTCCGATTGATCGACAAACAAGCTGTCGTCGGGAAGAGGATGATCCACCAGGAGACGAGTTGCAACCTCTTGAGAGCGTACAGGATGTGATGAAGAGTCTCCTCTTGCTGTGCGGACTTGAGGATGAAGCTCCTTGACACGCGCCCCACCTCCATCCAGCTCCTCTTTATTGGGTGACAGCTGCTGAAGAGCCGCAAAGTCGCCGTTTTTTTACTCTACTGGGTGAATGCCGCCGAAGACGATTCGACGACTCATTTCATTGGTCTCTACACTTCGCAAGGAGATCTAGAGATTGCCCACGTCGTCTTTCTTCAAGGAGAGCCTTCGAGGTTGTGGACATTGCACGACGATTGATAAGTCTTCATTATCATGAGTTAATAATTAGTAAATAATATAGTTTTAGCCTTAACTCATGATAAATAGACTTATATTTGTGTTAAAGTGTAAAAAGTGGTTTTCAGTTGATTAACGTGAATTTTTGGGTAATTATGTGATTTTATACAATTTTTACAGTCTTACTTTTGAGATAAATGAAGAACAAGAAATAAAAATAAAAATATCGCAAAATGGGGGGACCCGCCGGCCAGCCGGGCCCGCAAGCGGGTCGGAAGCGCAGTCGGGAGTAGCCGCGAGCAGGGGCTTGAGTGGCTTAGCTTGGACCGATAGGGGCACATGTGCACCACTCCCCTTCCACGTCACCGGTGGCCAGCCGGCTATGGGGCAAGGAGTGGTCGTACACGCGAGAGAAGTGACTTTGCTTCCAAAGCTAACATTACTATATATTCGCCCAAAAAATTGGCGCACAACCAATGTGGTACTAAACCCACGTCACACCTTCCTTACAGGCAGGCGACCGGCGCGGGTTCGAATCCTCCCAGAGTCAAAATTCATATATTTCTTATCTGATTATCGCGACTTTCCTGTAGATTGCCGGTGAAGGATTAAGCAACGAGAATCGTTGGATCATCGGCGAAAATCTCGTCAACGCGATTCGCGGAGCATTGCTACTACAATTTCTGAACGATTCGCGATAAAAGGATCGCGAATCCATCGATTAAATCATCTCCGATTGATCGACGAACAAGCAGTCGTCGGGAAGAGGACGATCCGCCGGGAGACGAGTCGCCACCTCCTGAGAGCGTACCAAATGTGATGAAGAGCCTCCTCTTGCTGCGCGGACCTGAGGATGAAGCTCCCTGACACGCGCCCCACCTCCATCCAGCTCCTCTCCATCGGGTGACAGCCACCGGAGAGCCGCAAAGTCGCCGTTTTTCCACTCCGCCGGGTGACAGCCGCCGGAAATGACTCGAGGACCCATTTCATTAATCTCTAGACTTCGCAAGAAGATCTAGAGATTGCCCATGTCGTCTTTGTCCAAGGAGAGCCTTCGAGGCCGTGGACACTGCACGACGATCCTCCCAAACGCTCAGGATTCTGGTGCATCACCGACGCATCGCCGTCGCGACGCTAGAACTCTGTTTTCCTGCTTTCAATTTAATTTACGCTTCATTTAGTGATACTTTGTGTGATTTTAATTTACCAAACTATACTTCGTTCAATTACGATTCTTCCGGCTTTTATAGATCTTAATTTGATTAATTAAATCGTCTGTAATCGCTTACGTAAGAATCGCCGGTGGAACTCTACTTCCGCCCGATCCGCGTTCGCCGAGCGCTGACGTCATCCTGACGTCCGCACCCTTATTTCCTTTTTTTTCGTGAATTTTAAATATATTTCCTTTTCATTTTCTAGTATAAAATTCATAGAAAATCGTATTCATTGAGAAAAAAATCTGAATAATTACAGAATATTATATTACATCCCTGTGATTGACCTGGGAAATTACCACTTTTTTTGGAAGTTTTATTAAATTACAATTGATATATTTATTTAGAAATACTTCTAAATATCCAAAAATTCGTATTTTCTAGTTTTATAAATTTTATATTTGCGTGATTTAATATACAACGATTAAGTCACGTCAAATTTTGGCGCCGTTGCCGGGGATGTATTGCATAATATTTAGTATTTTTTTGTTTTTCTCTTAGAGTACACAAAAAAAAAAACTTAACTCTTGTTTTATTTTCTTTTTGCCGAATTTTATTAGAAAAAGGGAACGAAAAGAAGCAAGGCAAGGACTGGAGCATCCTGAAGGAGGGTAACAGATACTAACTTTTTCCCTCGAATTTATTGATTTTTATGCATGGTAGAAGATCCTTGCATCCAAGGCTAGAAAATCCTTTCATTATTTCATTCAAAAATAAAAATCCGAAAGAAAAATTAATTTTGATGGATCCTAAAGGAAGTACAGGTCAAACTGAGAACAATCCTATGGCCATGAAAAATCATTATATCCCTGATTCATTTCAAAGAGCATCCAATATTAGAGTCCCATTAGCACCCACTGTTAAATTCGAAATAAATCCAGGAATTTTTCAAATGCTCCCTAATTTTCATGGATTGCCTTTAGAGGAACCTCATCAGCACTTAGAAAAATTTCATATGGTCTGTGATTTAGTTAATCTCCCTCAAGTTACACCAGAAATTACTAAGATGAAATTATTCCCTCATACACTTAGGGACAAAGCTAGTCATTGACTATCCACATTAGATAGAGAATTAACTAGCTGGAAAGACATAGAACAGGCCTTTCTTCGAAAATTTTATCCCTTAGGAAAAACTCAAAATATGAGAAAACATATATGGAATTTTTCTCAAAGACCAGGAGAAACTTTACATGAGACATGGGAAACATTCAAAGATTTACTTAGAAAGTGTAAATCTTATGAATTGCATCATGATGATGATTCTAAACTTAGAAATGAAGTTAATCAGATTAATTAAAGATTAGAAAAACTTAATTTACTTATTGATAATATTAGAAAGCCTCTTAACCCTCAATTTAAGTCAAATAGTATAGGTCCTATGTATGGTGAAAATGATCATTTCGAATTTCAATATCATCCTAGGCAAGAACAAGTGCAAGTACCCCACGATTTTAGTAAAAATAGAGAATATTTTTCTAATTCTTATAATCCTAATTGGGGGAATAATTTTTCGTGGAGAAACCCAAATAATATTCAAAATCTAGAAGCACTTAGATCCAATTCACATTTTGAATTTCGTCCAAAACAGGAACATAGATTTCAGAAAAATCAGTCCTCTCAAACCCAACATGATACTATAGAAATGATGCAGCAAATGAGCCAAATGATGCAACAAACTATGAATCAAATGATGCTGCACCAGAAACAAATTATAGAGGCTCTTGGGAATAAGAGAGAAGAGGGACAGCCACCTAGTCAGCCCATAAAAAATCCAAAAAACTGTCCAACAGTAAGATTTCAACAAGGAGAGTCTAGCTGGATAAATTTAGAAAAAAACCCACGAAATGAAAATGTTAGGTCAGTGAATACATTGAGTGAGAATATTTTACCTGATCCTTATTTCCAATTATTAGAAGAAATCGATGAGCCATTAGAAGTAAATGAGAATATTAATGCTGAAAATATAGTAGCAGAAAATTTGAATAAAATAATTTATTGCTCACAATTGATGAATAAATATAGTGAGGATGATGAGGAGAAAGAGCCCTTAGATGAAGAAACAACAGCTGATCATGGAAAAATCATCCAAATTTTAGTAGAAGGGGAGTATGGACAGAAATGAAGAAAAACATATTTCAGGTGAGGAAAAATCAGTTGATGTAGGAGACGAAATTAATGAATCTAATCATAATTTTGTAGCTATGGATGTTGATTGTGAGGATGATGATGTATATCATATACCGAAATTAAAAGATAGCTCTTGGGAAGATGACGAATTTGATGAGTTGAGAAATGAAAAGTTAGAAAAAGAGTTGATTCAACTAATAGGGAGAAACGAAAATAATGAATGAGTATAGAGATAATTTTGGAGGAGAAATTTTGAATTTTATTGAATTCATTAGATCTGAGATTAAAGAAGACAATCCTTCCATCCTTCAAAACCTACAGCCCATTAGAACTATTTCTAAGCTTGAAATATTTCACTCCTCACAAATTGAACAAATATGTATGGAAGATAAAATAGAGCAGGGGAAGATTATGCAGATAAAAGAAGACATTAAGAAATGGATGAATGGAAGAATTAGAGATATCAATTTAGATGAAAAAAATTTAGATTGGGTAAGAGCTAATTCAAAAATTATATGGCCTGATCACATTTTATGGTCTATTAATAGAAAGTATTTATTAATGAATGAAAGCCTTACAAAACAAGATAGAAATGAGGAAAGGTTCTTTTCAAAATGGAAATATTATTTTTGGGAAAATTTTGTTAATTTCCATTTTGTTTTGGCTGAAAGTATGTCAAGGTATATATATGAAGTATATGAATTTATGCTAAATCTGAAAAAGAATATTATGAAACTTACCTTGGGATACAAATATATTTTGATGGCCATAGATCATCTTATATGATCTAAGAGCTGTCCAGCTGGAGACATTAAATTCAGTGCTGCATGGGAGGCAACCCATGGTTTTTATTTCATTCTGTTTAATTTTTATTTTTTTTAAGCTCTGTTTTTCTTAGAATTTCGCAGTACTTGTTTCTGTATTTGTTTTTTCAAAAAAGTGCAGGAGGAGGAGTGTAAGACGAAGTGGAAAATTAAAAACGAGGTTGAGGTGATGTCTTCCGGAGCTTTATCATTTATGACAACATTTTTAATGCTTAACTTTGCATATATGCATGCTTCACGTGAAAATTATATTTTTTGCATATTCTGTTTCGATTTTTCTATGTCATTGAGGACAATGTAATTTTTAAGTTGGGGGGTGAAGTATTAATTATTAATTTATGCTGTAAGATGATTAAGAACATGTGTTTGCATTGTATTCAACTTAGAACAGCAACTAAAAAACTAAAAATAAAATAAAATTCGGAAAAACTGCAACATCTATTTTCTGATTTTCTGTCAGAAACAACAGACTGTCAAAAACAGTAGACAAAAAACAGCTCGAAATTTGAAATTCTAGAAGACCCTTTTCTCACATTTCAATCCCCTAGATATATATTACTGAAATTCGAAATTACAGCTATAAAGAAGATAGTTTTGATTTATTTTTGACAAATTTATTGCTGCTAAAAATAGAACTGAAAACAAAAAACAGAAATGTCAGAACTATCTAATTTACAAATCTCTTACATCATATTGCATGCATGAAAAATTAAATCAATTAGATTGATTGATACCAAAAGATACTAGGAAGATTATTATTGAGTCAAAAGAATGATCTAGTAGCATGAAATGTTGGAATACTCCTTGGATACATGATAGATAACATGGATTTGATTTTACAAATTTTCACTTCATGATCTTGATGGATAATATTTACTTGATGTGAAGATTTGATTGATCATTTGAGTTTAATGGAGATTTTTGCACCCTGATCTATAGGACTTGTGAGGAGAAATCACTTATTTCGAAAAAAAAAAAAAGAGAGATCAATGTGAAAAATCTAGAAACAAAGAGTACACATAGAGGGTGTGAGACATCATTCTCATTGTCGAAAATCGTGTATAGAAAAACACTTGCTACAAAATAAGTGGATAAAGTGAAAGCCCTGAAAATGAAGAGTACACATGGAGGGTGTGAGACATCATTCTTATTGTCGAAATTTGTCTATAGGAAAAGCTACTTATCCACTATATATATATATAAAAAAAGAGAAAGAAGAAATGTAGTGCAAACTTCAAAAATCAAGCCATAGAAAAAAGGAAATGTAGGATCAATATTATTCTTGGATGAGTATTGATAATTGGAACATCTTGTAAATACATCTATGAGTGAAGAAGTGATAAAGATGTGAATAGAAGAAGTGAAGTCTAGATTGTTATTCCAAGGAGTGTTTAAACATTTAAGTGCTTGACATCATTCTTAAAGACTTGATATAAGAGTCCAAAGTGTCTAAAGGTGCATCATTTCTAATTGTATTTTTATTTTTTTTTGTATTGAAATATGATGTTTGAAATTTGTAAATTTTTATTTTCGTAATTCCATTGCTAAGGGACTAGCAATGATTTAAGTTGGGGGGTGTGATAAGTCTTCATTATCATGAGTTAATAATTAGTAAATAATATAGTTTTAGCCTTAACTCATGATAAATAGACTTATATTTGTGTTAAAGTGTGAAAAGTAGTTTTCAGTTGATTAACGTGAATTTTTGGGTAATTATGTGATTTTATACGAATTTATATGATTTTTACAGTCTTACTTTTGAGATAAATGAAGAACAAGAAATAAAAATAAAAATATTGCAAAATGGGGGGACCCGCCGGCCAGCCGGGCCCGCAAGCGGGTCGGAAGCGCAGTCGGGAGTAGCCGCGAGCAGGGGCTCGAGCGGCTTAGCTTGGACCGATAGGGGCACATGTGCACCACTCCCCTTCCACGTCACCGGTGGCCAGCCGGTTGTGGGGCAAGGAGTGGTCGTACACGCGAGAGAAGTGACTTTGCTTCCAAAGCTAACATTACTATATATTCGCTCGAAAAATCGGCGCACAACCGATGTGGGACTAAACCCGCGTCACACCTTCCTCACAGGCGGGCGACCGGCGCGGGTTTGAATCCTCCCAGAGTCAAAATTCATATATTTCTTATCTGATTATCGCGACTTTCCTACAGATCGCCGGTGAAGGATTAAGCAACGAGAATCGTTGGATCATCGGCGAAAATCTCGTCAACGCGATTCGCGGAGCATTGCTACTAAAATTTCTGAACGATTCGCGATAAAAGGACCGCGAATCCATCGAGTAAATCATCTCCGATTGATCGACAAACAAGCAGTCGTTGGGAAGAGGATGATCCGCTGGGAGACGAGTCGCCACCTCCTGAGAGCGTATTAGATGCGATGAAGAGCCTCCTCTTGCTGCGCGGACCTAAGGATGAAGCTCCCTGACACGCGCCCCACCTCCATCCAGCTCCTCTCCGTCGGGTGACAGTCGCCGGAGAGCCGCAAAGTCGCCGTTTTTCCACTCTGCCAGGTGATAGCCGCAGGAGACGACTCGAGGACCCATTTCATTAATCTCTAGACTTCGCGAGAAGATCTAGAGATTGCCCACATCGTCTTTGTCTAAGGAGAGCCTTCGAGGCCGTGGACACTGCATGACGATCCTCCCGAACGCTCAGGATTCCGGTGCATCGCCGACGCATCGCCGTCGCGACGTCAGAACTCTATTTTCCTGCGTTTAATTTAATTTACGCTTCATTTAGTGATACTTTGTGTGATTTTAATTTACCAAACTATACTTCGTTCAATTACGATTCTTGCGGCTTTTACAGATCTTAATTTGATTAATTAAATCGTCTGTAATCGCTTACGTAAGAATCGCCGGGCGGAACTCTGTTTCCGCCCGATTCGCGTTCGCCGGGCGCTGATGTCATCTTGACGTCCGCATCCTTATTTCCTTTTTTTCGTGAATTTTAAATATATTTCCTTTTCATTTTCTAGTATAAAATTCATAGAAAATCGTATTCATTGAGAAAAAATCTGAATAATTACAGAATATTATATTACATCCCTGTGATCGACCTGGGAAATTACCACTAGTTTTGGAAGTTTTATTAAATTATAATTGATATATTTATTTAGAAATACTTCTAAATATCCGAAAATTCGTATTTTCTAGTTTTATAAATTTTATATTTGCGTGATTTAATATACAACGATTAAGTCACGTCAACGATCCTCCCAAACGCTTAGGATTCTGGTGCATCATCGACGCGTCGCCATCGTGATGCCAAAACTTTGTGTTCTTACTTTGAACTTACTTTCCACTTCATTTAGTAATAATTTGTGTGATTTTAATTTACCAAAATATACTTCGTTCAATTACAATTCTTTTAGTTTTTATAGATCTTAATTTGATCAATTAAATCGTCTATAATCACTTAAGTAAGAATCGCTAGGCAGAACTCTATTTCTGCCCGATTCGCCTTTGTCGGGTGCTGACATCATACTAACGCCCGCACCCTTATTTCCTTTTTCGTGAATTTTAAATATATTTCCTTTTCTTTTCTAAGTATTAAATTCATAGAAAATAGTATTCTTTGAGGAAAATTCTGAATAATTACCAAATATTATATTATATCCCTATTATCGACCTGGAAAATTATTACTATTTTTGAAAATTTAATTAAATTATAATTGATATATTTGTTCAGAAATATTTCTAAATATCTGAATTTGTCTTTTCTAGTTTTATAAATTTTCGATTTATGTGATTTAACATACAACGACTAAGTCACATCAAACACTATATGACAATCCTCCCGAACACTTAAAGTTCTGGTGCATCATTGACGCATCACCGCCGCGACGTCAGAACTTTGTTTTCCTACTTTCAACTTTCTTTCCACTTCATTTAGTGATAATTTATGTGATTTAAATTTACCAAGAAAATATTTAAGATTCACGAAAAAAAGAAAATAAGGGTGCGGGCGTCAGGATGACGCCAGCGCCCGGTGAACGCGAATTGGGCGGAAATAGAGTTCCACCCGACAATTCTTACGTAAGTGATTACAGACGATTTAATTAATCAAATTAAGATCTGTAAAAGCCAGAAGAATCGTAATAGAACAAAGTATATTTTTATAAATTAAAATCACAAAAATTATCACTAAATGAAGAGTAAATTAAGTTAAAAGTAGGAAAATAGAGTTTCGGCGTCGCGACGGCGATGCGTCGGCGATGCACCGGAATCCTAAGCGTTCGGGAGGATCGTCATGCAGTGTCCACGGCCTCGAAGGCTCTCCTTGGACAAAGATGATGTGGGCAATCTCTAGATCTTCTCGCGAAGTCTAGAGATTAATGAAATGGGTCGTCGAGTCATCTCCGGCGGCTGTCACCCGGCAGAGCGGAAAAATGGCAACTTTGCGGCTCTCCGGCGGCTGTCAGCCCACGGAAAGGAGCTGGATGGAGGTGGGGCGCGTGTCAGGAAGCTTCATCCTCAGGTCCGCGCAGCAAGAGGAGGCTTTTCATCGCATCTAGTACGCTCTCAAGAGGTGGCGACTCGTCTCCCAGCGGATCGTCCTCTTCTCGACGACGACTTGTTCGTTGATCAATCGGAGATGATTTACTCAATGGATTTGTGATCCTTTTATCGCGAATCATTCAGCAATTTTAGTAGCAATGCTCCGCGAATCGCATTGACGAGGTTTTCGCTAATGATCCAGCGATTCTCGTTGCTTAATCCTTCACCGGCGATCTGCAGGAAAGTCGCGATAATCAGATTAAAATATATGAATTTTGACTCTAGGAGGATTCAAACCCGCGCCGGTTGTCCGCCCTTTCTGAGGAAGGTGTGATGCGGGCTTAGTCCCACATCGGTTGTGCGTCGATATTTTGGGCGAATATATAGTAATGTTAGCTTTCTAAGCAAAGTTCTTTCTCTCGGGTGTACGACCACTCCTTGCCCCATAGTTGGCTGGCCACTGGTGACATGGAAGGGAAGTGGCACACATGTGCCCCTATCGGTCCAAGCTGCTCTATCCCCTGCTCGCGGCTACTCCCCGACTGAGCTTCCGACCCGCTTGTGGGCCTGGCTGGCCGGCGGGTCCCCCCTCATTTTGTCTTATTTTTCTTTCTTTTTCTTTATTTATCTCAAAAACAAGACTGTAAAAATCATATAAATTTATGTAAAATCACATAATTACCTAAAAATTCACCTTAATCAACTGAAAATTACTTTTCACACTTTAACACAAATATAACTCTATTTATCATGAGTTAAGGCTAAAACTATATTATTTACTAATTATTAACTCATGATAGTGAAGACTTATCAGTTATGCTTAGACTTATCTCTACTTTTCATGTGACATCATCTTATCAACTTACAGACGTCTTCACGAAGAGCGACATCTCCTATGACATCACATGTACTAAGTTAGATATATTCGACTTATATGCTCCAACTTGAAGAGGAATGTTCAATAGTGATATCAGACTCCCAGCCCACTAGGGCTCATTATGTATCTCTCTCTCTCTCATCTCTCCTCTGTTTTATATAGGAGTCATGTATTCTATCTTTTGTGATTGTATAGATTTTAGAGTTTTCCTCTCTCATGTCAATAGATGAGAATATTTATAAGCTAAAAAATAATTATAAAATATGATTTCAAAGAATTTATCAAAATGACACATACTGTAGGAAATCAATCAATGATAAATGAAAACTCAAATACAAGTCTATTTTAAGCAAGAGAATGTGATGTAGAACATCACTTTAAAACAAAATAGGTGTTAACGATTTATTCATATATAATAAAAGTACAGATTAGTGAATCAAATTTTGAGAGAACATAAAACTTTATCCTACTATGCATTTGTCACCCATGCAACTGACGAAGTGAAAATCGAGGGTAAATCACGATATAAACTTAAACATCAAGTTAAGGGTCTCCCATGTTGGCTGCTTTGTCGGTGTACACCTTTTAGGCGGAGGGAGAGAAGGTCAATAGGGAAGATAAATCCACCACTGCTGCCACCCGTCCCCACTTTGCCACGCTCACAGTTGTCACCAAGCTCGCCTCCACCTATCACTCTAAAGGAGACCTTGTCAATGCCACTGGACACCACTGGCGCTCTGCTGCAAGATACCACAGCACACTACTGTCCCTGTTGCCACCACGAATGGAAACCTTTGTTCCTGTCAAGCCCCCCTCTTCTCTGCCCTCAGCCTTCATTTCTATCATTGTAATGGGTTTCTCACAAGGCCTATTTCTGGGCCTGTTGCTAGGCTTGTGAATGGACTAGTTACTCCAAGGTCCTACAGAAATTTATAGATACATCAAGAGACATTCCAATTTTGTAAATACACACCCCTCTCACTAGTAAAAATCATATTTCTCCTGATTTTAAATTATAGAAAAATCATTTTAGAATGTATGTTAGAGACTTCAGTTAAATTTTGTTCGAGTGCATATGTCAGCAAAACTTTCTATGATGCATTCAAAATAGCTGATTTAATATTTTCATTCAGTTTATCACATTTATATTGACAAGCTAAATTTTCTAATGATTGATCTTAATTATCATTTAAAGATGATACACCAACATTGGCCCTAGGAGCCTTAGTTTCACAGTGGACAAGACGGAAGTCTCTTGAGAGAAGGAATTAAATTGGAACCTCAGGTGGGATGGGAGCAGCAGCAACTAGACCAGGCATCATCCCCCATCAGCTGCTGTTAGCTGCCTTTCTAACCATGTATAATGGTTTGAAGATGATAAAAGGTAATATCTTATTACCAAAGTAAACAATAATGATACTCATTAAGTATAATTATAATACATTAAATCAGTATGAAAAAAAAAGAAATATCATCAAGAACAAAATGGGTGTGATACACGCATTTCCAATAATTTCACAATTTTTTGGATGAAATTTCTTCTCTATAGTATCAAACATAATGTATTCGCAGAAATATGTTTGAAATATGAACACATTAAATTTAATTATTTTTTGTGAATTGATCAGATTAATCATGTTTTTCTCAGCTTAAATTCTAGGTGCTGAAGTGACATCCAACAAATCGATTTTAAATTGTCAAAACTACCATCAAACATCCCAATATCAAGAATGAAAAGAGAAGACTTCAGCCCACCTTAGATAGAAATAGAAGAGAGAAAAATAGAGTCAGATCTGTTTCTAAAGTCAACAAATTTTCCATTAGACATGGGCTGATTCTGAAACTTTCAGTTAAGAAATTTACACAAAGAAAGCTATGAGGATTTTTTTAATAACAATTACTTATTTTAAACCTATTCTTTAGAGCCAATAAATTTATTATGGCCTTGCTGAGGCTTTTGTGTTCAATAGGGACCATACTATTAGTCAATAGATTAGTTGAATCTTTTGGTATTCAGTGGAGATTTGTTGAGGTTGTAGTATTTAATGTTGAGAGCAGCTAAGGCCATAGTGTTCATTGTATATATCAGTTGCAACGTTGTTATTAAATGGAAGCTTTTCAGGGTGTCACATTTAATGACCCCTAATTAAGATGTTGATGTTTAACGTACTTTGTGAAAGATTCAGTTGACCCTAAGGATGTTGTCTCTAGAGAGTGGAATAGCACGTGGTTTAACTGTTATAAAACTTTGAGAACTAGCAAATAAGAGAACCTAAAAAACCCAGTTCACCCCCCTATACTTCTTAGCTCAGCTTCTTCAAAACAAACATAAGAGACACATCCACAATGCCTAGATTTTATATATTTTTATTAAAAAAGCTATAAATACTACATTTTTTAGTTGATTTAAAAATCCACACACTAAATAAAATAATTTTAAATTCCATAATAATTTTAACATCCATGATTACCAAGTTACATAAATACAACACACTATGATGTTTTGATATTTGCCGAATTAATGATACATATCAGAATGATACTTCTTAGTTCAATGAAAACTTTGGAAAATATGTTACAATTTATCATATTTCTATACTAGATTTATCAAAGGAAGAATTTTTGTTTGCGCTAGGCATAGGGTTGTCCATTGACTACTAGTGACACAGCTTAGGCATCTATATGTTGAACGAAATAGATTGTACAAGTTTATTATCACAACACAATAGGAAAATGAAAAGTAAAAAGAAGATTAGAAGATAAGCCTAATGGGAATGCACATCTACTGATCAATTGTCTTTTAGAAAATACGAGAAGATTGGATGACAAACCTAAAGGGAAAGCCCCTTGACTAGGAAATTATCTTTTAGATAAATTTTAACAATTCAAAGCCCTCAGTACTTCTGCATTTTCTTTCCAAGATATAGAAGGCCTTGACAACTTAAGATATTTATATGATGACTCTCTGCATGGAAGGGCATTTTAATAACTTCAGTTTAATAGGATTATGGAATTGATGATCTTATTATATTTTAAATGTTCATGCTACTCAATACAAGGGTAGAAAACTGAACTACTTGAACATAAGTCTAATAAGAAGTTTACTTAAGGGTAGAATAGTCATCACCATATATGAGTCTTAATGTTTTCATTTTATTTATGAATGAGTATTGGTTGCATAGGCATATAGTAAAAATTTGAAAAATCTTTGGAAAAGGAGTCCAATGTAATAAACTATTCAGGAAAATTATGAGGCATTGAATTGATATTGTTTTTAAAATATTAGCAAGTATATTTCGAGAGAAAAATACAAGCATGAGATGTAACATTGTTGAGTATTTTGCATCTATGGGAGCAACCCAATAATCCTAAATATAGGTGAGGCCGAGTAAGCTCAGTAAGAGCCTGCACCAAACTTCTGCAATGTTGAGCACTTAAAAGCAAAATCCACCTTATGTGTTCAAGAGCATAAAGATTCCTCAAGTTTCTCCAAAGACATTCATAAGGAAAAAGTTTCCAAAGACTTTATGTTTATAGAGTGTAGTTGTACTCATCACCCACCTAGGGTCTTAATCTAGAAAAGACTAACAGTTGCTAATCTCCCTCATTAATCTATGTTAACCCCTTTAGGTTGAAAATCTAGAAGGAAGTGAGACTCTCTTGTTCGGACTGAATTTTTTTTGAATCTAGAGATGATTCCTTAGTGGGATTGTAAGTTTGATTGAGGTAGTAAAACCATTGTGTAAGGCTCATGAAGTCATTAAGTCATTAAATGTTTAACTAAAATATTAGTGGATCTCAAGGTAGCTAGAAAGACTCAACTAGCTGAGAAGTGGAGTAGGTCCTCATACCAAACCACTATAATGATTTGTGTAACATTCTCTAAATTAACAGCCCAAAACCTATGAGCCAGAAAAGTTCATGAAATTAGGGAGAAAAATAAATAAATGGGAGTTAGCAATTCACCCCCAATCTTGGCGATATAATGCTATACTAAACTTAATAGATATAACAAAGTTAGCTCATATGGTTTCCTCCCAATATGCATGAGTTTAATAGTGAAGCTTAGCCATGAAATTTGAGATTATTAAAGAATGTGTAGAGATCAAGAATAGTGGCATATGAACATGTAGGATCATTCTGCATAATGGAGCCAAGAGGTTCGTATCCAACATCCACTGCTGCTCACATGAATATGTTGGGATACAGGTGCATTCATGGAAACTGGGATTATTGCTCCCATCATTCAATATGAAGTTAATTGTAGAATAGATCATAGAGAAATCATGCAAAGCCAATAAACCACATAGTGACAATAAGAATGGTGGCAAATAAATAGCCAAAGCCAGATATGACCCAAAAGACTAGCAGAAAGGTTTAACGTAACAACTCAACATTTTACGATATAATGAATAAAATAAACTTTGTAAGAGAAAATTGAGGCCCAATCTTCCACAATATTTTTAAATTCATAAGGACAACATAACGCACATATATGTGAAACTCAATTTGCACTCTTATTAATTTTTGAGAGACAAATTCTCATAGAGAAACAAAGACAAATAATTAATATTGAATTAATCTAGAAATGAATGTTTAATTAATTTTAGAACAAGCATCAAGATGGAGAATATGCATTGACATCCTTTTCAAAGTATAATAATATAGGAAAATATTGGTTTGTGCCAATGTTTACAAAACTTCAAATGTAAAATAAATTAAATATAGATTAAAAGCAGAAAAAATAACATTGCGAACTTCTCACATTTTTCTCTTACGTTTTACTATAGGCCTAATTTGACTGTGTGAAACCATCCTTGTCGCCCATGTTTCAAGATTCTAAAAGGTCTGGCCCACTAATTTTGTGCCACCTAGCTTAGAAACCTCTTTCCCTTCTCTTTTTTTGTTTGTGTTCTACATCAAATATAGAGATAAAACAAGAGAGAAATGAAAATCTAGAACTTGCACCCAAAATTGGAAGGAATACAACATTAATTATGAAGATGATATTTTGAATTATTTGAATGGCTTCTACAAACTTTCACATGCAAATATTCATAATTTTCATGTTATGTCATCAATTCCATAAAATGTAGACCAAGTATATTTCTCCTGTCCTAGTTTTCATAATTTTTACCATTAAAGTCACTTTTGGATTTACTTTCGTGCTATGGTACATGTAGGAAATATTCAATCGACATACTTCTGACCGAAGCATGGAATTAGTGACAAACTTTCATGAATTGGGGCATTTTCGACGTTGTGAAGCCATGATGGACGAGGAGACTTGCAGTGCTGTGGGGAGAATGATCAGTCTCAAAGAAGCAGATATTGGAATCTGTGAAAAATTATCATCCTAGATCTATGATGTACATGTGATCTGAATTTGTGGTGAGTTAGCAGGAGGTCAAGGGGGAAATTCCCCTGGAGTAGAATTTGAATGAGAATAAGCCGTATCTTTTGTGTCTTAGGTGGTCGCCCTAACCCTGAATTATACATTGCACTTAACCTCCACCAATGTTAGTGGAATGAATATTGAGCATCCCTTCTCCCCCCTTAGAGGTTTTCTGGGGGTTAGCCTAAGAAGGAAGCACCTCTCCGATCCTCAACTACTGTTAAAAAATCTCAAGAGAGAGCAGTCGGGATGGACAAATGATCACTTTGGTAGGAGCTCTGGCTGTAGGACTCTCACCGTGCAGAGAGCAACAATGGTCTATGCCAAATTACCTTCAACGAGGGGGTCAGCTTGGAGTGGTTGTTGACTTACTTTCGGCAGCTGGAACCTCCACAGTAGATTGTAGCCGAACAGTGGTATATGCAAGCTTGTGTGGTGGAGTGGCCAAGTACAAGGAGTCATCTGCATTCAGACTACAAACAACGGCACTGTATTAGTGCAAACGTGCATAGTGCTTATTATAGAGAGCAACTCCGTTTAGATAGTACGTAGACAACAAGCATTTGTGTGACATAGAGCACCGTCAAGCAAAGGGAACACCCACCTACGCTGCTTGTAACTATCATGCATTTTATGACGCAGATTAGTGCTGGCCTTGAGGACTTCTCACATTGCACAATTATATAGAATGGAAGAATTGACCCTTGAACTCATGAGAGACAAATTTGTAGCGCAAGAAGATCAAAAACCAGACATTGAATCTATAAGACTCAATTTTTCCTGATCTTTGAGTTACAAAGATGACTTAGATGACATTTGAATCCACAAACATTATAACTATATCCTTGAATCCCCAAAGATCAAAATGACGTTAGCTGAATTTATAAAGGTTACTTGGATCTACAAGCACTTAAAACTCTGTCAAAGAGAATTAACATTCCTAACTAAAATCTTTTCTAGGGTAACAATGTGGTGGCCTTCAAATGGGCGGAAAATCAGTTGGGACACTCCTAAGAGTAAGGACAATTTAGGAAATAAGTTAAAAATACATTAAAACAAGACAGTTACTAAAAATGTGACACTCACACACTATCCAGGCTCTTATCTTAGGAAACAAATTCATAGCATCCTTTAAGCAATGTAGCTGCTAAAAGGTAAGACTCTGATACATTATTCTTGTATTTAATTTGGGCCTAATTCTATTTTGAGCCTTTCTGGGGTTTTCTCATATTTTCAGTCCATTTTCACGTTTCTATAATAGTTGGGCCATCAATTTTTGGCGTATCTTGGTGTTGTTGCAGATAGGCCCACCAATTTTGGTCCACTGATAAGTCTTCATTATCATGAGTTAATAATTAGTAAATAATATAGTTTTAGCCTTAACTCATGATAAATAGACTTATATTTGTGTTAAATTGTGAAAAGTGGTTTTCAATTGATTAACGTGAATTTTTGGGTAATTATGTGATTTTATACGATTTTTACAGTCTTACTTTTGAGATAAATGAAGAACAAGAAATAAAAATAAAAATATTACAAAATGGGGGGACCCGCCGGCCAGTCGGGCCCGCAAGCGGGTCGGAAGCGCAGTCGATAGTAGCCGCGAGCAGGGGCTCGAGCGGCTTAGCTTGGACCGATAGGGGCACGTGTGCGCCACCCTCCTTCCACGTCACTGGTGGCCAGCCGGCTGTGGGGCAAGGAGTGGTCATACATGCGAGAGAAGCGACTTTGCTTCCGAAGCTAACATTACTATATATTTGCCCGAAAAATCGGCGCACAACTGATGTGGGACTAAACCCGCGTCACACCTTCCTCACAGGCGGGCGACCGGCGCGGGTTCGAATCCTCCCAGAGTCTAAACTCATATATTTTTATCTGATTATCGCGACTTTCCTGCAGATCGCCGGCGAAGGATTAAGCAACGAGAATCGCTGGATCATCGGCGAAAATCTCGTCAACGCGATTCGCGGAGCATTGCTACTAAAATTTCTGAACGATTCGCGATAAAAGGATCGCGAACCCATCGAGTAAATCATCTCCAATTGATCGACGAACAAGCCGTCGTCGGGAAGAGGACGATCCGCCGGGAGAGGAGTCGCCACCTCCTAAGAGAGTACCAGATGCGATGAAGAGCCTCCTCTTGCTGCGCGGACCTGAGGATGAAGCTCCCTGACACGCGCCCCACCTCCATCCAGCTCCTCTCCGTCGGGTGACAGCCGCCGGAGAGCCGCAAAGTCGCCGTTTTTCCGCTCTGCCGGGTGACAGCCACCGGAGACGACTCAGCGACCCATTTCATTAATCTCTAGACTTCGCAAGAAGATCTAGAGATTGCCCACGTCGTCTTTGTCCAAGAAGAGCCTTCGAGGCCGTGGACACTGCACAACGATCCTCCCGAACGCTCAGGATTCTGGTGCATCGCCGATGCATCGCCGTCGCGATGCCAGAACTCTGTTTTCCTACTTTAAACTTATTTTACACTTCATTTAGTGATATTTCTTTGTGATTTTAATTTACCAAAATATACTTTGTTCTATTACGATTCTTCCGGCTTTTACAGATCTTAATTTGATTAATTAAATCGTCTGTAATCGCTTACGTAAGAATCGCCGAGCGGAACTCTGTTTCCGCCCGATTCGCGTTTGCCAGGCGCTGACATCATCCTGACGCGCGCGCCCTTATTTCCCTTTTTCGTGAATTTTAAATATATTTCCTTTTTATTTCCTAGTATAAAATTCATAGAAAATCGTATTCATTGAGAAAAATTCTGAATAATTACCACATATTATATTACATCCCTGTGATCGACTTGTAAAATTACCGCTATTTTTGGAAGTTTTATTGAATTATAATTGATATATTTATTTAGAAATACTTCTAAATATCCGAAAATTCGTATTTTCTAGTTTTATAAATTTTATATTTGCGTGATTTAATATACAACGACTAAGTCACGTCAAATTTTGGTGACGTTGTCAGGGATGTATTGCATAATATTTAGTATTTTTCTGTTTTTCTCTTAGAGTACAAAAAAAAAAAAAACTTAACTCTTGTTTTATTTTCTTTTTGCTGATTTTTATTAGAAAAAGGGAACGAAAAGAAGCACGGCAAGGACTGGAGCATCCTGAAGGAGGGTAATAGTTACTAACTTTTTCCCTCGAATTCATTGATTTTTATGTATGGTAGAAGATCCTTGCATCCAAGGCTAGAAAATCCTTTCATTATTTCATTCAAAACTAAAAATCCGAAAGAAAAATTAATTTTGATAGATCCTAAAGAAAGTACAGGCCAAACTGAGAACAATCCTATGGCCATGAAAAATTATTATATCCCTAATTCATTTCAAAGAGCATCCAATATTAGAGTCCCATTAGCACCCAATGTTAAATTCGAAATAAATCCAAGAATTTTTCAAATGCTCCCTAATTTTCATGGATTGCCTTTAGAGGAACCTCATCAGCACTTAGAAAAATTTCATATGGTCTGTGATTTAGTTAATCTCCCTCAAGTTACACCGGAAATTATTAAAATGAAATTATTCCCTCATACACTTAGGGACAAAGCTAGCCATTGGCTATCCACATTAGATAGAGAATTAACTAGCTGGAAAGACATAGAACAGGCCTTTCTTCGAAAATTTTATCCCTTAGGAAAAACTCAAAATATGAGAAAACATATATGGAATTTTTCTCAAAGACCAGGAGAAACTTTACATGAGACATGGGAAACATTTAAAGATTTACTTAGAAAATGTCCTCAGCATGTTATACCCAAGTGGCAGCTCAATAGAATTTTTTATGATGGATTATTAGAACAACATAGAAATATGATTGATTCTATATGTGGAGGAGCTTTTATGGAGAAAACCCCTGATGAGATTTACAGTCTTTATGAGAATTTAAGTGAAAATTCTAGAGATCAAGCCTCTTTTGAATTATATGATAGGGATAAGAAGAGAGGAATTCATGAATTGCATCATGATAATGAATCTAAACTTAGAAATGAGGTTAATCAGATTAATCAAAGATTAGAAAAACTTGATTTTCTTATTGACAATATTAGAAAGCCTCTTAACCCTCAATTTAATTCAAATAGTACAGATCCTATGTATGGTGAAAATGATCATTTCGAATTTCAATATCATCCTAGGCAAGAACAAGTGCAGGTACCCCACGATTTTAGTAAAAATAGGGAATATTTTTCTAATTCTTATAATCCTAATTGGGGGAATAATTTTTCGTGGAGAAACCCAAATAATATTCAAAATCTAGAAGCACTTAGATCCAATTCAAACTCTGAATTTCGTCCAAAACAAGAAAACAGATTTCAGAAAAATCAGCCCTCTCAAACCCAACATGATACTATAGAAATGATGCAGCAAATGAGCCAAATGATGCAACAAACTATGAGCCAAATGATGCAACAAACTATGAGCCAAATGATGCAACAAACTATGAATCAAATGATGCTGCACCAGAAACAAATTATAGAGGCTCTTGGGAATAAGAGAGAAGAGGGACAGCCACCTAGTCCGCCCATAGAAAATTCAGGAAACTATCCAACAGTAGGATTTCAGCAAAGAGAGTCTAGCTGGTTAAATTTAGAAAAAAACCCACGAAATGAAAATGTTAGGACAGTGAATACATTGATTGAGAATATTTTACATGATCCTTATTTCCAATTATTAGAAGAAATTGATGAGCCATTAGAAGTAAATGAGAATATTAAGGCTGAAAATATAGTAGCAGAAAATTTGAATAAAATCATTTATTGCTCACAATTGATGAATGAATATAGTAAGGATGATGAGGAGAAAGAGTCCTTAGATAAAGAAACAGCAGCTGATCATGGAAAAATCATCCAAATTTTAGTAGAAGGGAGTATGGACAGAAATGAAGAAAAACATATTTCAAGTGAGGAAAAATCAGTTGATGTAGGAGACGAAATTAATAAATCTGATCATAATTTTGCAGCCATGGATGTTGATAGAGAGGAGGATGTATATCATATACTGAAATTAAAAGATAGCTCTTGGGAAGATGAAGAATTTGATGAGTTGAGAAATGAAAAGCTAGAAAAAGAGTTGATTCAACTAATGGGGAGAAACGAAAATAATGAATATGAATATAGAGATAATTTTGGAGGAGAAAATTTAAATTTTACTGAATTCATTAGATCTGAGATTAAAGAAGACAATCCTTCCATCCTTCAAAACCCACAGCCCATTAGAATTACTTCTAAGCTTGAAATATTTCACTCCTCACAAATTAAACAAATATGTATGGAAGATAAAATGGAGCAGGGGAAGATTATGCAGATAAAAGAAGACATTAAGAAATGGATGAATGGAAGAATTAGAGATATCAATTTAGATGAAAAAAATTTAGATTGGGTAAGAGCTAATTCAAAAATTATATGGCCTGATCACATTTTATGGTCTATTAATAGGAAGTATTTAATAATGAATGAAAGCCTTACAAAACAAGATAGAAATGAGGAAAGATTCTTTTCAAAATGGAAATATTATTGGGAAAATTTTGTTAATTTCCATTTTGTTTTGGCTGAAAGTATGTCAAGGTATATATATGAAGTATACGAATTTATGCTAAATCTGAAAAACAATATCATGAAACTTACCTTGGGATACAAATATATTTTGATGGCGATAGATCATCTTATATGATCTAAGAGCTGTCCAGCTGGAGACATTAAATTCAGCGCTGCATGGGAGGCAACCCATGGTTTTTATTTCATTTTGTTTGATTTTTTTTTAGCTCTGTTTTTCTTAGAATTTCGCAGTACTTGTTTCTGTATTTGTTTTTTCGAAAAGGTGCAGGAGGAGGCGTGTAAGACGAAGTGAAAATTAAAAACGAGGTTGAGGTGATGTCTTTCAGAGCTTTATCATTTATGACAACATTTTTAATGCTAAACTTTGCATATATGCATGCTTCACTTGAAAATTATATTTTCTGCATATTCTGTTTCGATTTTTCTGTGTCATTGAGGACAATGTCATTTTTAAGTTGGGGGGTGAAGTATTCATTATTAATTTATGCTGTAGGACGATTAAGAACATGTGTTTGCATTTTATTCAACTTAGAACAGCAACTAAAAAAATAAAAAAAAGATCGCCGAATTCGGAAAAATTGCAACATCTATTTTCTGGTTTTCTGTCAGAAACAACAGACTGTCAAAAACAGTAGACAAAAAAACAGCCCGAAATTTGAAATTCTAGAAAAACCTTTTCTCACATTTCAATCCCCTAGATATATATTACTGAAATTCGAAATTACAGCTATAAAGAGGATAGTTTTGATTTATTTTTGACAAATTTATTGCTGCTAAAAATAGAACTGAAAATAGAAAACAGAACTGTCAGAACTATCTAATTTACAAATCTCTTACATCATATTGCATGAATGAAAAATTAAATCAATTAGATTGATTGATACCAAAAGATACTAGGAAGATTATTATTGAGTCAAAAGAATGATCTAGTAGCATGAAATGTTGGAATACTCCTTGGATACATGATAGATAACATGGATTTGATTTTACAGATTTTCACTTCATGATCTTGATGGATAATATTTACTTGATGTGAAAATTTGATTGATCATTTGAGTTTAATAGAGATTTTTGCACCCTGATCTATAGGACTTGTGAGGAGAAATCACTTATTTCGAAAAAAAAAAAAAAAAGAGAGAGCAATGTGAAAAATCTAGAAACGAAGAGTACACATAGAGGGTGTGAGACATCATTCTCATTGTCGAAAATCGTGTATAGAAAAACACTTGCTGCAAAATAAGTGGATAAAGTGAAAGCCCTGAAAATGAAGAGTACACATGGAGGGTGTGAGACATCATTCTTATTGTCGAAATTTGTCTACAGGAAAAGCTACTTATCCACTATATATATATAAAAAAAAAAAGAGAGAGAAGAAATATAGTGCAAACTTCAAAAATCAAGCCATAGAAAAAGAGAAATGTAGGATCAATATTATTCTTGGATGAGTATTGATAATTGGAACATCTTGTAAATACATCTATGAGTGAAGAAGTGATAAAGATGTGAATAGAAGAAGTGAAGTCTAGATTGTTATTCCAAGGAGTGTTTAAACATTTAAGTGCTTGACATCATTCTTAAATACTTGATATAAGAGTGCAAAGTGTCTAAAGGTGCATCATTTCTAATTGTATTTTTTTTTTTTTATATTGAAATATGATGTTTGAAATTTGTAAATTTTTATTTTCGTAATTCCATTGCTAAGGGACTAGCAATGATTTAAGTTGGGGGGTGTGATAAGTCTTCATTATCATGAGTTAATAATTAGTAAATAATATAGTTTTAGCCTTAACTCATGATAAATAGACTTATATTTGTGTTAAAGTGTGAAAAGTGGTTTTCAGTTGATTAACGTGAATTTTTAGGTAATTATGTGATTTTATACGATTTTTATAGTCTTACTTTTGAGATAAATGAAAAACAAGAAATAAAAATAAAAATATTGCAAAATGGGGGGACCCGCCGGCCAGCCGGGCCCGCAAGCGGGTCGGAAGCGCAGTCGGTAGTAGCCGCGAGCAGGGGCTCGAGCGGCTTAGCTTGGACCGATAGGGGCACGTGTGCGCCACTCTCCGTCCACGTCACCAGTGGCCAGCCGGCTGTGGGGCAAGGAGTGGACGTACACGCGAGAGAAGTGACTTTGCTTCCGAAGCTAACATTACTATATATTCGCCCGAAAAATCGGCGCACAACCGATGTGGGACTAAACCCACGTCACACCTTCCTCACAGGCGGGCGACCGGCGCGGGTTCGAATCCTCCCAGAGTCTAAACTCATATATTTTTATCTGATTATCGCGACTTTCCTGCAGATCGCCGGCGAAGGATTAAGCAACGAGAATCGCTGGATCATCGGCGAAAATCTCGTCAACGCGATTCGCAGAGCATTGCTACTAAAATTTCTGAACGATTCGCGATAAAAGGATCGCGAACCCATCGAGTAAATCATCTCCGATTGATCGACGAACAAGCCATCGTCGGGAAGAGGACGATCCGTCGGGAGAGGAGTCGTCACCTCCTAAGAGCGTACCAGATGCGATGAAGAGCCTCCTCTTGCTGCACGGACCTGAGGATGAAGCTCCCTGACACGCGCCCCACCTCCATCCAGCTCCTCTCCGTCGGGTGACAGCCGCCGGAGAGCCGCAAAGTCGCCGTTTTTCCGCTCCGCCGGGTGACAGCCACCGGAGACGACTCAGCGACCCATTTCATTGATCTCTAGACTTCGCGAGAAGATCTAGAGATTGCCCACGTCGTCTTTGTCCAAGGAGAGCCTTCAAGGCCGTGGACACTACACAACGATCCTCCCGAACGCTCAGGATTCCGGTGCATCGCCGACGCATCGCCGTCGCGATGCCGGAACTCTGTTTTCCTACTTTAAACTTACTTTACACTTCATTTAGTGATATTTCTTTGTGATTTTAATTTACCAAAATATACTTTGTTCTATTACGATTCTTCCGGCTTTTACAGATCTTAATTTGATTAATTAAATCATCTGTAATCGCTTACGTAAGAATCGCCGGGCGGAACTCTGTTTCCGCCCGATTCGCGTTTGCTAGGCGCTGACGTCATCTTGATGCCCGCGCCCTTATTTCCCTTTTTCGTGAATTTTAAATATATTTCCTTTTTATTTCCTAGTATAAAATTCATAGAAAATCGTATTCATTGAGAAAAATTCTGAATAATTACTAGATATTATATTACATTCCTGTGATCGACTTGGAAAATTACTGCTATTTTTGATATTATTGAATTTAAAAACTTTTTGTTCTGTTCTTTTTTGGAAGTGATGTCCTATTTCAAGTACCCTATTGCGACGTCACATATGCAGCATGCATTTTTTTGCGTGGTTTAGTGTCAAGCATGGGGAGTTTCACCCATGGAGTCCACATAGGCAACACATGCTGAAATGGTTCCCATGTTGTGGGAGTGCGCTGGTGTTGCTCTGATGGAGTGGGAGCTTTGGTGTCATTTGTGAGAAGATTTGTTGGTGTCATGTATTAGCATTTGGGTGATGCACGCGAGAAGGTTTACGTGTGACGCAAAACAAGTTCACTGGCATGAAACAACGAGGTGACGAATCTACTTGCTGAGGTACATGTTAAGTGGGAGCTGCAATGCAAATGATCAGGTGACATGGTGAAGAGGCTCACAATGCAATGCAATTTACCAATGCAATGTGCGCGAGAAGACTCGCATTGCAGCGTTGGAGAATGATCAATTTTCGAATTAAAGATTGTTAGGATATATGAATGAACATTTCAGATTTATAGAGGATGTGTAGATTTGAGTCCGCAGTTTGTTAGCAGGAGGTCTAGGAGGAGCTGTGCCTATAAATAATTTGAACTAAGGACAATTATATGTTTTGTCCATACGTAGTCTCCCTAACCCCATATTATAAATCGGAGGCAACCTCTGTCACTGTAATTAAGAGATTTTACTAAGGCAATGTGTATATTGGGTATATAACGAAAGATAGGTCCCAGTGAGACTGACAAGTGCCAAACTAGAGCATAAGTATGAGGTCTCATCAACTCGATAAAAACATCTGAATGTAGTAGTGTTCTTATCCATTATATCAAACACCTTCCAAGATAGGACAGAAAATGATGCACACAATGGTGATGTCCGGTGATAAGTCTTCATTATCATGAGTTAATAATTAGTAAATAATATAGTTTTAGCCTTAACTCGTGATAAATAGACTTATATTTGTGTTAAAGTGTGAAAAGTGGTTTTCAATTGATTAATGTGAATTTTTGGGTAATTATGTGATTTTGTATGAATTTATATGACTTTTACAGTCTTACTTTTGAGATAAATGAAGAAAAAGAAATAAAACTAAAATATTGCATAAGGGGGGGGGGACCCGCCGGCCAGCTGGGCCCGCAAGCGGGTCGGAAGCTCAGTCGGGGAGTAGCCGCGAGTAGGGGCTCGAGCGGCTTGGACTGATAGGGGCACGTGTGCGCCACTCCCCTTCCACGTCACTGGTGGCCAGCCGGCTGTGGGGCAAGGAGTGCTCATACATGCGAGAGAAGCGACTTTGCTTCCAAAGCTAACATTACTATATATTCGCCCGAAAAATCGGCGCACAACCGATGTGGGACTAAACCCACGTCACACCTTCCTCAGAAGGGGCGGACAACCGGCGCGGGTTCGAATCCTCCCAGAGTCAAAATTCATATATTTTTATCTGATTATCGCGACTTTCCTGCAAATCGCCGGTGAAGGATTAAGCAACGAGAATCGCTAGATCATCGGCGAAAATCTCGTCAACGCAATTTGCGGAGCATTGCTACTAAAATTGCTGAACGATTCGCGATAAAAGGATCGCGAATCCATCCAGTAAATCATCTCTGATTGATCGACGAACAAGCCGTCATCAGGAAGAGGATGATCCGCCGGGAGACGAGTCGCCACCTCCTGAGAGCGTACCAGATGCGATGAAGAGCCTCCTCTTGTTGTGCGGACCTGAGGATGAAGCTCCTTGACACGCGCCCCACCTCCATCCAGCTCCTCTCCGTCGGGTGACAGCCGCCGGAGAGCTGCAAAGTCGCCATTTTTCTGCTCCGCCGGGTGACAGCCGCCGGAGACGACTCGGCGACCCATTTCATTAATTTCTAGACTTCGCGAGAAGATCTAGAGATTGCTCATGTCGTCTTTGTCCAAGGAGAGCCTTCAAGGCCGTGGACACTACACGACGATCCTCCCGAACGCTCAAGATTCCGGTGCATCGCCAACGCATCGCTGTTGCGACGCCGGAACTCTGTTTTCCTGCTTTCAAACTTACTTTACGCTTCATTTAGTGATAGCTTTTGCGATTTTAATTTACCAAAATATACTTTGTTCAATTACGATTCTTCCGGCTTTTACAGATCTTAATTTGATTAATTAAATCGTCTGTAATCGCTTACGTAAGAATCGCCAGGCGGAACTCTGTTTTTGCCCGATTCGCGTTCGCCAGGCGCTGACGTCATCCTAACGTCTGCACCCTTATTTCCTTTTTCTCGTGAATTTTAAATATATTTCCTTTTTATTTCCTAATATAAAATTCATAGAAAATTGTATTAATTGAGGAAAAATCTGAATAATTACAAAATATTATATTACATCCCTGTGATTGACCTTGGAAATTACTGCTATTTTTGAAAGTTTTATTAAATTATAATTGATATATTTATTTAGAAATACTTCTAAATATCCAAAAATTCATATTTTCGAGTTTTATAAATTTTATATTTGCGTGATTTAATATACAACGACTAAGTCACGTCAAATTTTGGCACCGTTGCCGGGGATGTATTTCATAATATTTAGTATTTTTCTGTTTTTCTCTTAGAGTACACAAAAAAAAACTTAACTCTTGTTTTATTTTCTTTTCGCTGATTTTTATTAGAAAAAGGGAACGAAAAGAAGCACGACAAGGACTAGAGCATCCTGAAGGAGGGTAACAGTTACTAACTTTTTCCCTCAAATTTATTGATTTTTATGTATGGTAGAAGATCCTTGCATCCAAGGCTAGAAAATCCTTTCATTATTTCATTCAAAAGTAAAAATCCGAAAGAAAAATTAATTTTGATGGATCCTGAAGGAAGTACAGGTCAAACTGAGAACAATCCTATAGCCATGAAAAATTATTATATCCCTGATTCATTTCAAAGAGTATCCAATATTAGAGTCCTATTAGCACCCACTGTTAAATTCGAAATAAATCTAGGAATTTTTCAAATGCTCCCTAATTTTCATGGATTGCCTTTAGAGGAACCTCATTAGCACTTAGAAAAATTTCATATGGTCTGTGATTTAGTTAATCTCCCTCAAGTTACACCGGAAATTATTAAGATGAAATTATTCTCTCATACACTTAGGGACAAAACTAGTCATTGACTATCCACATTAGATAGAAAATTAACTAGCTGGAAAGATATAGAACAGGCCTTTCTTCGAAAATTTTATCCCTTAGGAAAAACTCAAAATATGAGAAAACATATATGAAGTTTTTCTCAAAGACCAGGAGAAACTTTGCATGAGACATGGGAAAAATTTAAAGATTTACTTAGAAAGTGTCCTCATCATGCTATACCCAAGTGGCAGCTCAATAGAATTTTTTATGACGGATTATTAGAACAACATAGAAATATGGTTGATTCTATATGTGGAGGAGCTTTTATGGAGAAAACTCCTGATGAGATTTACAGTCTTTATGAGAATTTAAGTGAAAATTCTAGAGATCAAGCCTCTTTTGAATTATATGATAGAGATAAGAAGAAAGGAATTTATGAATTGCATCATGATGATGATTCTAAACTTAGAAATGAGGTTAATCAGATTAATCAAAGATTAGAAAAAATTGATTTACTTATTGACAATATTAGAAAGCCTTTTAACCCCCAACTTAATTCGAACAGTACATGTCCTATGTATGATGAAAATGATTATTCTGAATTTCAATGTTATAATTTAGATCAATCATTTCACCCTATACAAGAACAAGTGCAAGTAGCTCACAGTTTTAATAGAAACAGGGAACCTTTTTCAAATTCTTATAATCCTAATTGGAGGAATAATTTTTCATGGAGAGACCCAAATAATATTCAAAATCCAGAAGCACTTAGACCCAATTCAAACTCTGAATTTCGTCCAAAATAAGAAAATAGATTTCAGAAAAATCTGCCCTCTCAAACCCAACCTAATACTATGAAAATGATGCAGCAAAAGAGTCAAATGATGCAACAAACTATGAATCAAATGATGCAGCACCAGAAACAAATTATAGAGGCCCTTGGGAATAAGAGAGAAGAGGGACAGCTACCTAGTCAGCCCATAGAAAATCTAGGGAACTGCCCAACAATAGGATTTCAGCAAGGGGAGTCTAGTAGCATGAATTTAGGAAAAAACCCACGAAATGAAAATGTTAAGACAGTGAATGCATTAAGGAGTGGTAAGATCTTACTTGATCCTTATCCCTAAACATTAGAAGAAAAAGAAAATGTGGACAAACCAAAACAAAATCAAATAGGAGTAGAAGAGGATTTTATAGATTCTACCTAGGAAATTTCAAAAGAGAGGACGACCATTCCATTTCCTAAAGCTCTAAAGCCTAGACAAAGAAAGAAAAAGGAACACAATGAAGAAATAAAGAAAATTTTACAAGATGTGCAAATTAGTCTTCCTTTACTCATTGCCATTGAACATACTCCTGAATATGCTAGAGTTTTGAAAGAAATGTGTACACCAAAAAGGGCACCTAGAGTAGAAAAATTATCTATGCATGCTAGTGCATTATTATTAAATCAATTACCATATAAATTGAGAGATACAGGTGCCCCTTTAATTTCATGTGATATTGGTGAATCCATTTTTCAGAATGCATTACTTGACACCGATGCTAGTATTAATTTATTACCTGCAACTATTTGTGATAAATTTAATATTTCTGATCTTAAACCTTCCACTATTACCTTAAAATTTGCTGATAGATCCATAAAACATCCTAAAGGTATTTTAGAAAATGTGATAGTGACAGTTAAAGGGTGTAAATTTCCAGCTGATTTTGTAGTGCTGGAAATGGATTTTAATGGACAGTTTTATGATACGCCAATCATCCTAGGGAGACCATTTTTGCATACAGCAAAGATGAATATTGATTTTCCGACAGGTATTGCAAAAATTTCATGTGGAGATCAATCAGTAGAAATTAAAATTTTTGAGGTACCAAATGATCTTAAGAAATCACAAGTATATGATTGTCATACCATAGATCTTCTAGATGATTTTGATGATCTAGATGTGATTGATGACTGTGTGCTAGAAGAATTAGAGGAAATAGAGAATATAAATTTGGGAGAAAAGAAAGAGGAAGATCATCTGAATTTAGAGTTGAAACCTCTTCCCTCTAGTTTAAAATATATGTTTTTAGAGGAAAATAATTCATTTCTTGTTATTATTGTAGCTGATTTGAATGATGAACAGGAAGAAGAATTATTAGATGTACTTCGAAAAAATAAGAAGGCTATGGGCTGGAAAATGGACGATCTAAGGGGCATAGATATGAGTGTATGCATGCATAGTATATATCTTGAGGAGGGGGCCAGAACTAGCAAGGAACCACAACGAAGATTAAATCCTAACATGATGGAAATTGTAAAAAAAGAAATTTTAAAGTGGCTGGCTGGTGATATTATTTATCCTATTTCAGATAGCAAATGGGTTAGTCCTACACAAGTAGTGCCAAAAAAATCAGGGATCACAGTTATAAAAAACGAAAATGGGGATGAAATACAAACAAGATTAACTACCGGTTGGAGGGTTTGCATTGATTATAGAAAATTAAATTCAGTTACTAGAAAAGATCATTTTCCCCTACCATTTACTAATCAAATTCTAGAAAAATTAGCTGGAAAAAACTTTTTTTGTTTTCTGGATGGATACTCTGGTTATAATCAAGTTTATATAAACCCTTTAGATCAAGAAAAAGCAACTTTCACTTGTCCATTTGGTACTTTTGCTTTTAAACGCATGCCTTTTGGTCTGTGTAATGCTCCAGCCACATTTCAAAGATGTATGCTGTCTATTTTTTCTGATATGAGTGGAAAATGCATGGAAATTTTTATGGACGATTTTTCTGTTTTTGGTGAATGATTTGATGAATGTTTAAATCATTTACAGCATGTACTTGAGAAATGCATAGAGAAAAAATTAGTTTTGAGTTGAGAGAAATCACATTTAATGGTTAAAGAGGGAGTTGTGTTGGGTCATATTGTGAGTAAAAGGGGTTTAGAGGTGGATAGAGCAAAAATTGATATTATATCTAAAATGAAACCTCCAAATTCAGTAAAACAGATTAGATCTTTCTTGGGTCATGCAAGTTATTACAGAAAATTTATTCAAGATTTTTCGAAGATTTCTAAACCTCTCACCATGCTATTATCTAAAGATGTGCCTTTTAATTTTGATGAGAAATGTTTTGAGTATTTTTTCGAAATAAAAAGATTACTTACTAAGGCACCCATTTTACAAGCTCCTAATTGGTCCCTTCCCTTTGAAATAATATGTGATGCATCGAATTATGCAGTGGGGGCCGTTCTAGGACAAACAAAAGAGTCAAAACCCATAGTAATTTCATATGCTAGTAAAACTATATCCGATGCTCAATAGTTGTAGTATTTTCGTTAGAAAGGTTTAGATCATATATTTTGGGAGCTAAAATTATTATTTATACTGATCATGCAGCATTAAAATATCTGTTAAATAAGAAAGATGCAAAGCCACATTTATTAAGATGGATTTTATTGTTGCAGGAATTTGACTTAGAAATAAAAGATAAAAAAGGTTTCGAGAATGATGTTGCTGACCATCTTTCTAGATTAAGTGACATAGGAATAAATGCAGCACCTTTACAAGACACATTTCCAGATGAACAATTGATGTCAGCTCAACATCAACCATCACCATGGTATGCACATATTGTTAATTTTCTGGTTTCTGGAAAAACTCTAGAACAGTGGGATAAGAAGAGAAAAAATCATTTCTTTTCTAAGATTAGAAATTATTTTTGGCATGATCCTGATTTATATTACTTGGGCAATGATCAAATTTTAAAGAAATGTGTTCCTGAAGAAGAATACCATAGCATTATTAACATGTGCCATTCATCTAACTATGGAGGACACTTCCTTGGACGAAAAACAGCTGCAAAAAAATTTCAGTGTGGTTTTTATTGGCCTACAATCATTAGAGATTCTATAGAATTTAGTAGAACATGTATTTCATGCCAATCTATAGGTAACATGAGTAAAAAAGATGAAATGCCCATGAGTAACATGTTAGTAGTCAAAATTTTTGATGTATGAGGAATAGATTTCATGGGTCCCTTCCCATCAGCTGAAAAATATGAATATATTTTGCTTGCTGTTGATTATGTGTCGAAGTGGGTGGAAGCTATTCCTACAAGAACTAATGATCATAAAATCGTGATGAAATTTGAGCAGGAAAATTATTTTTCGAGATTTGGATGTCCTAGAGTGATTATTAGTGATGGAGGAACACATTTTACAAATAAAAATTTCAGAGAACTGTTGAAAAAGAATGGAGTACACCATAGAGTAGCTGATAACTCTTCATTATCATGAGTTAATAATTAGTAAATAATATAGTTTTAGCCTTAACTCATGATAAAGAGACTTATATTTGTGTTAAAGTGTGAAAAGTGGTTTTCAGTTGATTAATGTGAATTTTTGGGTAATTATGTTATTTTACATGAATTTATATGATTTTTATAGTCTTACTTTTGAGATAAATGAAGAAAAAGAAATAAAACTAAAATATTGCAAAATGGGAGGACCCGCCGACCAGCCGGGCCCGCAAGCGGGTCAGAAGCTCAGTCAGGGAGTAGCCGCGAGCAGGGGCTCGAGCGGCTTGGACCGATAGAGGCACGTGTGCGCCACTCCCCTTCCACGTCACCGGTGGCCAGCCGGCTGTGGGGCAAGGAGTGGTCGTACACGCGAGAGAAGGGACTTTGCTTGAAAAGCTAACATTACTATATATTCGCCTGAAAAATCGGCGCACAACCGATGTGGGACTAAACCCGCGTCACACCTTCCTCAGAAGGGGCGGACAACCGGCGCGGGTTCGAATCCTCCTAAAGTCAAAATTCATATATTTTTATCTGATTATCGCAACTTTCCTGCAGATCGCCGGTGAAGGATTAAGCGACGAGAATCGCTGGATCATCAGCGAAAATCTCGTCAACGTGATTTGCGGAGCATTGCTACTAAAATTTCTGAACGATTCGCGATAAAAGGATCGTGAATCCATTGAGTAAATCATCTCCGATTGATCGACGAACAAGCCGTCGTCGAGAAGAGGACGATCTGCCGGGAGACGAGTCGCTACTTCCTGAGAGCGTACCAGATGCGATGAAGAGCCTCCTCTTGCTGCGCGGACCTGAGGATGAAGCTCCCTGACACGCACCCCACCTCCATCTAGCTCCTCTCCATCGGGTGACAGCCACCGGAGAGCCGCAAAGTCGCTGTTTTTCCGCTCCGCCGGGTGACAGCCGCCGGAGACGAGTCGACGACCCACTTCATTGATCTCTAGACTTCGCGAGAAGATCTAGAGATTGCCCACGTTGTCTTTGTCCAAGGAGAGCCTTCGAGGCTGTGGACACTGCGCGACGATCCTCCCGAACGCTCAGGATTCCGGTGCATCGCCGACGCATCGCCGTCGCGACGCCGGAACTCTATTTTCCTGCTTTCAATTTAATTTACGCTTCATTTAGTGACACTTTGTGTGATTTTAATTTACGAAAATATACTTTGTTCTACTACGATTCTTCCAGCTTTTACAGATCTTAATTTGATTAATTAAATCGTCTGTAATCGCTTACGTAAGAATCGCCGGGTGGAACTCTGTTTCCACACGATTCGCGTTCGCCGGGCGCTGACGTCATCCTGACATCCGCGTCCTTATTTACTTCTTTTTCGTGAGTTTTAAATATATTTCCTTTTTATTTCCTAGTATAAAATTCATAGAAAATCGTATTCATTGAGAAAAATTCTGAATAATTACCAAATATTATATTACATCCTTATGATCGACCTGGAAAATTACCGCTATTTTTGGAAGTTTTATTGAATTATAATTGCTATATTTATTTAGAAATACTTCTAAATATCCAAAAATTCGTATTTTCTAGTTTTATAAATTTTATATTTGCGTGATTTAATATACAATGACTGAGTCACGTCAATAGCCACTCCATATCATCCCCAAACAAATGGGCAAGCTGAAGTAGCAAATAGGGAAATTTAGAGAATTTTGAGAAAAATAGTTAGACCAGATAGGAAAGATTGGCCCACGAAATTACAAGATGCATTATGGGCTTATAGAACAGCTTATAAAAATCTCATAGGTATGTCTCCATTTCGTCTCATTTTTGGAAAGCCATGTCATCTTCTAGTGGAAATAGAGCATAAAGCATTATGGGCTATAAAAAATTTATGTATGGATGAAAAATCAGCTGGTGGGCATAGAATTTTTCAGCTACATGAACTAGAGGAGTTGAGAAATGAAGCTTATGAAAATCATAGAATATATAAAGAAAAAACTAAAACTTTTCATGATAAATACATTAGTAGAAAAAAAATTGATGTTGAAAAAAAAGTGTGGTTATATGATTCTAGGCTGAAATTATTCCCAAGAAAATTAAAATCAAAATGGAAAGGGCCTTATGTGGTGGAAGAGACATATGATCATGGGGTTGTAATGATTAAAGATCCTAAAAGTGATCATAAATTTAAGGTAAATGGACAGCGGCTTAAACATTACATAGAACATGAACGCCTTGCAGAAAAAGAAATTTTATTAATAAATTCAAGAGTAAGATCAAGGAGTCCAGCTGGAGACATTAAATTCAGCGCTGCATGGGAGGCAACCCATGGTTTTTATTTCATTTTGTTTGATTTTTTTTTTAAGCTCTGTTTTTCTTAAAATTTCGCAGTACTTGTTTCTGTATTTGTTTTTTCGAAAAAGTGCAGGAGGAGGCGTGTAAGACGAAGTGGAAAATTAAAAACGAGGTTGAGGTGATGTCTTACGGAGCTTTATCATTTATGATAATATTTTTAATGCTAAACTTTGCATATATGCATGCTTCACTTGAAAATTATATTTTCTGCATATTCTGTTTCGATTTTTCTATGTCATTGAGGACAATGTCATTTTTAAGTTGGGGGGTGAAGTATTCATTATTAATTTATGCTGTAGGACGATTAAGAACATGTGTTTGCATTTTATTTAACTTAGAACAGAAACTAAAAAAATAAAAAAAGATCGCCGAATTTGGAAAAACTACAACATCTATTTTCTGGTTTTCTGTCAGGCACAATAGACTGTCAAAAATAGCAGACGAAAAAAACAACCCGAAATTTGAAATTATAGAGACCCTTTTCTCAAATTTCAATCCCCTAGACATATATTACTGAAATTCGAAATTACAGCTATAAAGAAGATAGTTTTGATTTATTTTTGACAAATTTATTGCTGCTAAAATAGAACTGAAAATAGAAAACAAAACTGTCAGAACTATCTAATTTACAAATTTCTTACATCATATTGCATGCATGAAAAATTAAATCAATTAGATTGATTGATACCAAAAGATATTAGGAAGATTATTATTGAGTCAAAAGAATGATCTAGTAGCATGAAATGTTGGAATACTCCTTGGATATATGATAGATAACATGGATTTGATTTTACAAATTTTCACTTCATGATCTTGATGGATAATATTTACTTGATGTGAAAATTTGATTGATCATTTGAGTTTAATAGAGATTTTTGCACCCTGATCTATAGGACTTGTGAGGAGAAATCACTTATTTCGAAAAAAAAAAAAAAAAGAGAGAGCAATGTGAAAAATCTAGAAACGAAGAGTACACATGGAGGGTGTGAGACATCATTCTCATTGTCGAAAATCGTGTATAGAAAAACACTTACTGCAAAATAAGTGGATAAAGTGAAAGCCCTGAAAATGAAGAGTACACATGGAGGGTGTGAGACATCATTCTTATTGTCGAAATTTGTCTACAGGAAAAGCTACTTATCCACTATATATATATAAAAAAAAAAAGAGAGAGAAGAAATATAGTGCAAACTTCAAAAATCAAGTCATAGAAAAAGAGAAATGTAGGATCAATATTATTCTTGGATGAGTATTGATAATTGGAACATCTTGTAAATACATCTATGAGTGAAGAAGTGATAAAGATGTGAATAGAAGAAGTGAAGTCTAGATTGTTATTCCAAGGAGTGTTTAAACATTTAAGTGCTTGACATCATTCTTAAGTACTTGATATAAGAATCCAAAGTGTCTAAAGGTGCATCATTTCTAATTGTATTTTTTTTCTCTCTATATTGAAATATGATGTTTGAGATTTGTAAATTTTTATTTTCGTAATTCCATTGCTAAGAGACTAGCAATGATTTAAGTTGGGGGGTGTGATAAGTCTTCATTATCATGAGTTAATAATTAGTAAATAATATAGTTTTAGCCTTAACTCATGATAAATAGACTTATATTTGTGTTAAAGTGTGAAAAGTGGTTTTCAATTGATTAATGTGAATTTTTAGGTAATTATGTGATTTTACATGAATTTATATGATTTTTACAGTCTTGCTTTTGAGATAAATGAAGAAAAAGAAATAAAAATAAGACAAAATGAGGGGGGGACCTGCCGGCCAGCCGGGCCAACAAGCGGGTCAGAAGCTCAGTCGGGGAGTAGCCGCGAGCAGGGGCTCAAACAACTTGGACCGATAGGGGCACATGTGCGCCACTCCCCTTCCACGTCACCGGTGGCCAGCCGGTTGTGGGGCAAGGAGTGGTCGTACACACGAGAGAAGGAACTTTACTTAGAAAGCTAACATTACTATATATTCGCCCGAAAAATCGGCGCACAACCGATGTGGGACTAAACCCGCATCACACCTTCCTCAGAAGGGGCGGACAACCGGCGCGGGTTCGAATCCTCCCAGAGTCAAAATTCATATATTTTTATCTGATTATCGCGACTTTCCTGCAAATCGCCGGTGAAGGATTAAGCAACGAGAATCGCTAGATCATCGGCGAAAATCTCGTCAACGTGATTCGCGGAGCATTGCTACTAAAATTGCTGAACGATTCGCGATAAAAGGATCGCGAATCCATCGAGTAAATCATCTCCGATTGATCAACGAACAAGTCGTCGTCGGGAAGAGGACGATCCGCCGGGAGACGAGTCACCACCTCTTGAGAGCGTACCAGATGCGATGAAGAGCCTCCTCTTGCTGCGCGGACCTGAGGATGAAGCTCCCT